ATTCTTTTCTCTTCATGCCCCTACTCTATGCGTGTAGCTGGAAGAAAATACTAGTCCTCTGAATTTACTTACCCATCTTATTGTGACAACTCACTGCTCTTGATGCCACGAAAGCCCTTCTGTCCTTGCAATCTTTTTATGCAAACACATTCTATCCTTTTTTTTTTCCTGCATGGCCTCCAAAAGTCATAATCTGAATTTTATTTCTCAAACTAGAAAAGGCTTGTATTATACCTTTTAAAAGGCCACTTAATCCTTTTAAGCCCTCATTTTTAGGCATTTTCAATCCCTGGAAAAATTAATAGATGGCCCAATGACTGTGAGCCCTCTCTTTTCTACTAAATCCAGGACCAGACTTCCAGTCTAAAAAACTTGGCATTTTTATTATTTTCTCTTTCATTCTCCCAGGTTTATTGCAGTTTCTAATTTAAGCTCACTGTGATAGCCAGAAACTAGATGACTACATTTTCAAGAGGATTTCTCTGTACGCACTGACCCTGAAGCTTAGAACTGTGAGCCACAAAAAAAAGAAAAAAAACAACTTTCGAGGGAAAATTTATATAGTTTTATTGGACTTTTTGAATATATCCAGCCCTGTGGTGAAAGATGATTACCTTCCTAGGAAATTGCTTAAAAACAAAAAAGGGGGAAAAGATAACACTTCTCTATATGATATATCTATATCACATGTATTAAGTAGATTGGGAAGTAAAAAATATATATATTCATTATAGAACATGAAGAGTCCATTTCGCCAAGAGTAGTTTATAAAATGGAAGGGAGTGCTTTCAGTGACACGGAAAATGCACAGACTTGCAGAGTCTGGAAGGATTCATAAAGATCATTGGTCCCAGTGGCCTTTGAGGCATGATCCTCAGCCCTGTGTCCTGTGGGGGGCACTTGCAGAGGCACTGCTGGAGAGGGAACGGTGAGGAGCCCACCTCACTGCAAACCGAATAGCTTTGCCTTCATCTCTACACACTGGGCGTTCCTATTTCAGAAAGAAGAACCTTTCCTACAGCTAAAACAAAGTCAGAAAACTACTGGTAGAGTCCAGCTACCCGGGCAACTTCTGAACACCTTCTGCAGATTAATAATGAACACAGATAAACACATAGGTCTACGTGGTTCCTGTTGTGATCCCAACATCTAGCTACAGCAAAGTGTGTTTAGGTAACTTTTATTACTGGGACAGTTTGCAGAGAAGACCCAACCTCGTATTTGGAATTAGAATGTTCTGAACATACTTTCACTCCAGGGGTGGACACAGGTAATGCATTTCTCATTGTGTATGAAATGTGGTGGCAGTAGAATTATGGAAAGTGTTTGTGAAGTGGTAATTTTAGGTTTGAATGTTGTGACAGCAGGTGGAGCTAGTAGTAGGAACTCTATTTCTAGGCCATTTAAACAGCAGTAAAACATATAAAACTTACATTAATGTGTTTGCATTACAGAGCGGTAGGAATAGCAAACCTTTTACGCCTTGGCTTTGGAAAGTGATCATACTATTACAACATGAGAGCTCAGCTGAATGCAAACTTCTCTATCCTTTTTAGAAAAGGGACTTGCATGGTATTGAATGCATTTGTATGTGTTGCCATCGAAGATTAAGACAAGGGGATGGGGATGGGGCAGTGAGATATGTTTACGTGGTTTAATATTGACTAAAAAATAAGGTATCTGAGCCTGCAGGAAAATAGTGTGAATGAACTTGATTACATAAATAGAGTTATTTGCATTATTAGATGGTTTCTTCTTTTTTTTTTTTTTTTGCGGTACGCGGGCCTCTCACTGTTGTGGCCCCTCCCGTTGCGGAGCACAGGCTCCGGACGCGCAGGCCCAGCGGCCATGGCTCACTGGCCCAGCCGCTCCGCGGCATGTGGGATCCTCCTGGACCAACCTGTGTCCCCTGCATCGGCAGGCAGACTTGCAACCACTGCGCCGCCAGGGAAGCCCTGGTTTCTTCTTTTTAAATGGTAATAAACATATAGTTGAAATCCACATATATTTTCTCCTAGGAAACACTAAAGAACATGTGCTTTTTATCCCCCAAGATATGAAATAAAGACCTGACTACTTTATAGCCCCAAATACGGATGAGTTTTCTGAATATGTGGTTTAAAATATATCATTCACCACTCATGCACTTCTTTTTTCTTGTGAATCTGAATCACACATTGAACCATGGAACTGTTCTTTTTTCTTACCGTTTCCCGAAATCAGACGCAATTAAATGAAGAGCGCATATTATGCATTCATTTCCTTTTCCTCTGAATTTTGTTTGTTTTTTACTGTATCATAGGTATTAAGAAATTGGGGTTTCTAAAATGACGATTTTGCTGGCTATGTGAATAAATAGAGACCTACTTTTTGGCATTAATTTACAGTTATAAGAGCATTTAAAACACATTTTAACGCTTTTTGCTGAAAACTAGAAATAACGTCTTCCTATGATTTTATTTACTTATTCAACAAACATGTGAGGAATGCCTCCTACAAGCAGGTATCTGCTTGGAATTAGAATGTTCTGAACATACTTTCACTCCAGGGGTGGACACAGGTAATGCATTTCTCATTGCGTATGAAATGTGGTGGCAGTAGAATTATGGAAAGTCTTTGTGAAGTGGTAATTTTAGGTTTGAATATTGTGTGGATAAATTTTGACAACAGGCAATCCTTTCCCTCAGTGTCTCTCAGGCAGACGTGTGGCCAAATAGTTACCATGGGACCCAATGAGAATGGAGCTGCATCACTGCACATCCTCCACTGCCATGGGGGAAACGCTAATTCCATACAATGTGTATTTATTGAGCACATGCCAAGCACTCTGGTAGGTGCCAGGAGATACGCCTGCTGCTGCTTTCTTGACTTTTGCTCTTGGTTGTCTCCGAAGCATCAAACAGCTAACATCTCCAAATTGCAACTGCATCTCAGCACCACCCCCATCCTGCTTCCCCTCGTCTTTCTCATCTCTTTAAATGACTCCTCAAACCACCTAGTCCTCGAGCCAGAACCTAGGGCTTATTCTTGACATCTTCTTTCTCTTGCACCACGTGTAACCCTCCATCTTTTCTGCAGTATGTCTGAACCTTCCACTGCCCTCTGTTCCCGCTGCCCATGCCCTCGTGACCACATCTCTTGCCAGTAGGATCCTAACAAGTCTCCTTTTTTATATTTTGCTTTCTCCCCAGTCCTTTTTCAAAACAATAGCCAGAGAGATCTTTCCAAAATCTAAATCAGATCATGTCACTTCTCAGTTCAAACTTTATTGACTTACTATTGCAACTGAAATAAAAATCAAATTATTTCCCGTGGCCCATGAGGGGCTGTGCGTTCAGGCCCTGCCCACCTCACCAACGCTGTCTTCACCGCATTCGAGACGCTGTGGCCTGTTTTCACTTCCCGCACTCCCCACCCCATGGCCTTGGCACGTGCTCTTTCCACGGCCTGGAATGCTCTTCTTCCCACCTTTAGCCAGTTGGTGTCTTCTTATCATTTAGGTCTTAGCCTAAATATTACCTCCTCTGTGAGATCTCTCCTTCCCCAGAGTCTGCTCTACGGGACGATTTCTGTGACATGTTTTATACCCTCCTGTTTTCCCCTCATTGCGCACGCCACAGTTTGTGATTTTGTGTACGTTTGTCATTGAATCTGTATCATCACCGTCTGTGTCACTAGACCAGTGACCCTTGGCACTGGAATCGTGTGTGTTCTCTTTTCCCCTCTATTCCCAGAGCTTAATGCAGTGCCTGGCACCCAGTGGGTCCTAAAGAGTTGTAAGAGAATCATTTATAAACACGTAAAGATAGATGGACTTTTAAAATTTCTGAATCTTTAACTACAAGTAAGAAAAATGTGGAAAATTAAAACTATTTTCTACTTTTTAAAAAACCATCGGAACTATTTCGGGAAATGTGTATAGTTCAGTATACCTCACCAAAATATTCCCTTTTGGAAAGGGTGCAAGTTCTTAAAAATTAGCACGTGGTTATTGTGTGATTTGGGGCTATTTTTAAAACAGTGATACATTTTTAAATGGAAATCCTGACTTATAAAAACGAACTGCTCTTTTTAGATATTTAGGACTCCGTTCACTAGAATGTTTAAATTCTTGGCTGCACTCTTTAAACCTACTACAAAGATCACATTAGAATTCTTTTTTTTTTTTCTGCGGTACGCGGGCCTCTCACTGTTGTGGCCTCTCCTGTTGCGGAGCACAGGCTCCGGACGCGCAGGCTCAGCGGCCATGGCTCACGGGCCCAGCCGCTCCGCGGCATGTGGGATCTTCCCAGACCGGGGCACGGACCCGCGTCCCCTGCATCGGCGGGCGGACTCTCAACCACTGCGCCACCAGGGAAGCCCTAGAATTCATTTTAATAGGCATTGTAAGCACAGTATCCAATCTCATATGATCATGCTGAGCTCTTTTATTATGAGAATCACAGGAAGCCGAGCCTGAGGCTGCAGAACAGTCATGGGAGGTAGCTGGGGCTGGGGACAGTGCCAACGCTACTGCTGATGGAACGCTCTCTACACCTTTATCTACGGTGCGCAGTTGGGATTGACTTTTGGGAAACTACTTCTTCACCCCCATCTCCCAGCTGGAAAAAAAACCTGTCGTAATGACATCTGGCTCGGAAAAAAAGGATCAAAGACGCGTAAGGAAAGAAAATTATGAGACCTTATTTTATAAGTAGTTTCGGGCCTGTCTGTTAGATCTGTCAGAGGGAAGACTGTCATACTTTTTCGAGGTCATCATCTTTTTTCTCCGGGAAGAGCTCAGTGAGCTCCCAAAGTGTCTATCCTTTCTGCCATCGATTGCTAATGTGGAGTCTACTTAGCTTTTAAGAAAATGTCTTTTCAACTTTAGAGATCTTTATGAATAAATACTACCCACCAAAAATTAAGATAACATTTGTTTGTGGTACTATCACTTTCCGTTTATGTTTTGTTTCCTTCTTAAAGAGGAAGACAGTAAATTTTTTTTCCCCAACTTTTAGGGATATTACTTAAGGAGTTTTTAGACATTGTAAGGAAAAAGAAGGAAGCTCAACTCTATCGGAATGAAATAAGACACATCTTCACAGCTTTTGACAGGCACTGTAAGTATCTTTAAAGTGTTTTGATATAAAAAATGGCTATTAAGGAACTGTGAATGGGAACATACTCAGTAACTAAAATAATATACTTGGAAGGTTATTTTACTGTATTCATTAGCTATTACCTTAGATGTTGGTGTACATTTTTTTTCTCCGTCACAATCTTAAATTCTTGACATTTACGATGGGTGAAATAATATCTACAGTTATATAATTATACAATACTTATGATTTGCCTGCAATGTAATGGGGACAACAGAAGGGCTGGCCGTGCGGGGATATAGGTGAAGAGCTACTTGTGGAAGTTTGGGAGACCATGAGGCCTTTTTTTCCGACTCCTCCTTTGACCCACACATAATTGGAGGAATTGTTTTCCCACACTGGGGTGGCCCAGAGGAGTAGCTTCAGACCCCCTCCCCACAGAACACAGGGTTGAAAGACTTGTGGAGTCCAAGTTCAGTGTTTTGGCTTCTGTAATGGTTTTCCTCTAAATAATAATATAGTTCTAATACCAAGCAAGAAAAAAATGTGAATTTTGAAGAATGAATTATTTTGGCAATCCACAAAGACTTGAAGCCTAATGCCATTGTTGCAGTGTCTGTCCCTGAGTCCTTTACCTCGGACTCAGGGAATCAGCAAATCCTGGGGCTGGAAGAAACCTGCAGGAGCATCTGGGGCTGTACTGAGGGAGAGTATTACTAGATTCTCAAATTCTTCCAACGAGACAATCTCAGATTACCTTATATGTAAAATCAACTATAATTTACTGCTTTTCTCCTAGTAATAGATTAAAGTCTCACGCATATGTTGTGGCTGAAATAGCAGTTCATGGGGCTGATAGAAGTGTGTGAATGTTATGTATTCTGTTTTCAAATAGATCGTGGATATTTAACTCTGGAAGATTTCAAAAAAGCATTTAAGCAGGTGGCTCCCAAGTTATCAGAAAGGATTATTCTCGAGGTATTCAGGTAAGGTGCCAGAATCTTTATGTATACCCACCCCTTGATTTACCATTTGCTTTTACAAGTTTTCAGTTTTATGGAGAACACTCATTTATGCTTATTTTTCACTAGTGAACATTTTCATCTCACAGCATATTGTCATGATCCAGGAGAGAATTTTTTTTTTTTTTTTTTTTGCGGTACGCGGGCCTCTCCCGTTGCGGAGCACAGGCTCTGGATGCGCAGGCTCAGCGGCCATGGCTCACAGGCCTAGCCGCTCCACGGCATGTGGGATCTTCCCGGACCAGAGCACGAACCCATGTCCCCTGCATCGGCAGGCGAACTCTCAACCACTGCGCCACCAGGGAAGCCCCAGGAGAGAATTTTATAGTTAGCTATTAGTCCATCCACACCTTGACAGTGGGCTCTAAAGTGGGTGGAGTGCTTGCATACTAGGAAGGTGCAAAAATCATTTGTTAGTAGGGGTGGAGAGGAGCAGAAAGAAAGTAGAACTTCTTTGTATATTTATGTATTGACCAAAGCCCCCCCCCCGAAGCTTTATTAATATTTAATATGGATGCTCCCATGGTGTTCTCCCATGGTCTGTATTTCATCAGACATGGGTTACAAATGGTCCTTGAGTTGTCTGGAGAGTAGAGTTGGGTTGATCAGTGGTGGCCCCTCCTTCATTTGTTTTCAAAGTTATAGACCCATGATGCAGTTCACACACACCTGGTAAAGTAGATTTAAAGACTATATTATGTTTTCTTTATAAACTAATTCTGACAAAATGGGCAAGTGGCTTAAAAGCAGTTTCCGTTAGGAAACTGCAGATTGAAAGTAGTAAGAATAGTGTAAGCACATGCTTGCAAAGAAAATTGCAGAGTTGCCTCTTCTCTGACTGCTAACATGAGTTCCTCATCAACCTTGTTACCAGATGTGTTAATTAGGGTTTCATACAGCAGTAAGAGCCAGAAAACCCAAAACAACAAAGAGAGAGCAATAAACACAGGAGAGTCCAGGGATGATTTGATGGCAACACAGTTGTGAAGGACCCAGATTCCTCGCCTCTTGTTGTTTGGCTGCCTCAGCATCTGGCTTTCTCCCTCTTGCTTCAAGATGGCTCCCGAGGTTTCAGCCATCACACCTGAATTCCAGCTAGGTAGGCCAAAAGGGAGCAGAAGATATGCCCCTCCTTTGAAGGCTATCCATTATTTCTTCCTACATCCCAGTGACCAAAACTTAGTTCCAAGGCCATGAATAGCTACAAGGGGGAGGTGGGTCTGGAAAATGTAGTCCCTGCTTTGGGCAGCCACGTGCACTCAAATGGAGTCTCTGATACTGAGGAAGAAGGAGAGAACAGATACTGGGGGACATCTGGCAGGTGTTCCCATGTGGATAAAAGTAATTTCGTGAAATCTGACCGGAAGCCAGCCCTGCTCAGTAGAAATTATCAAGTAGGTTATTTGAAATAAGGATCTGCACTCACTGTCATTAACAGTGACATATATGAAATTCTTTTGCTGCATCATTTGCAAGCAGATTATTGAGCAAGCTATTGAAGAGCAAAGGAGTTCAAGCCAGGTGCAGACAAAGTGCCTGAGGACAGTATTACTTAGGTGATTCCAGAACATCAAGACCTTTAAAATATAGTAGCATCTTTGTGCACACTTTGTGATGAGAAGAGTAATGAAAGTCAATGTATTTCTACCACATGGTGGTGGTTTTTCACAAAAAGAATTACTTCATTTTACTTTTACAAAAAGACACGTGTCGGTCGTCCCTGGTGGCGCAGTGGTTAAGAATCCGCCTGCCAATGCGGGGGACACGGGTTCGAGCCCTGGTCCGGGAAGATCCCACATGCTGTGGAGCAACTAAGCCCGTGCACCACAACTACTGAGCCTGCGCACCACAACTACTGAAGCTGACGTGCTTAGAGCCCATGCTCCACAACAGGAGAAGCCACCGCAATGAGAAGCCCGTGCACCGCAATGAAGAGTAGTCCCTGCTCGCTGCAAGTAGAGAAAGCCCGTGCACAGCAATGAAGACCTAACCTAATGCAGCCAAAAATAAATAAATAAAATAAAATTTAAAAAGACAAGTGTCCAAATTTGCTGACCTTTTTGTGTTAAATGGTTTCAGGAGGTGCCCCCTTGTACCACGTGTAATTTTGAAAAATCCACTTAAATATAGCTGTTCAAGATAGAAGCAGTCTTTTAACAGTGAGTGGAAAAGTAACTGCTTCTCAAAAGAAATCTACGTTATTGGGAGAGCATTTTTGAAAATAGATATTTGGCAATGTGATTCTGTTTTAAAAAATGTGTACACCTATTGAAACCTTCATACCTGCATGTTTAATAATTTAAAAATGGAATGTTCTAATCTGGTGAAAAAAGTCGTACAAAGTTTCAGTGGTTTAAGAAAAAAAAAAAAAAAGGTCATGAAGAACCTAGGAGCAAGACGGGATTAAAGACACCGACCTACTAGAGAATGGACTTGAGGATATGGGGAGGGGGAAGGGTAAGCTGGAACAAAGTGAGAGTGGCATGGACATATATACACTACCAAATGTAAAATAGATAGCTAGTGGGAAGCAGCTGCATAGCAGCCGCATAGCACAGGGAGATCAGCTCAGTGCTTTGTGACCACCTGGAGGGGTGGGATGGGGCGGGTGGGAGGGAGATGCAAGAGGGAAGAGATATGGGAACATATGTATATGTATAACTGATTCACTTGGTTATAAAGCAGAAACTAACACACCATTGTAAAGCAGTTATACTCCAATAAAGATGTTAAAAAAATGTAAAATATTTAAAGTCAAATCATAAGAGCTTATTTTTATTATAAAGTAAATAAAACTCTTAGAACAGTTTCTGATAAACAGTAAGAACTCAATAAATGTAAACTATTTTATTTTTAGTCACATAACTGCCCAGATAATCCGTAAAATTTATTAATCATCCTCTAAAAAAAGAATAAATAAAAATAAATAAATAAATAAAATAAAAATTCAAAAAAAAGTTTCAGTGGTTTGAGAGCACAGTTTTTAAAAGTGTAAAAATTCAATAGCTTTGATAAGTTTTCAAGAGCAACTAATTGGTATCAGGAGCGATGGATATTTATTAGCTGAATTTCAATTAACAATACCAACAAACTAATTAAAAAAAAAACCCTTAAGATTTTTCATTATCAGAGGATGGAATTAAAAACAGGGATTCGGTGTCATGATGCCCTTTTCCCACTTAGATCTACATACCTTTGTGAGGTATCTCTGACAGCCGTTAAGACCAAATAGTAAAACAAACTGAACTTGAAATTGTTCAATCACAAAGGATTCAACCGAGATGTTCAGAAATAATAAAGTATGTGAAATCACATTGTTCTTGTTAGATGTTATTAATAATTTCTAGTGATGGCAAAAAGTCATTTGCCATTAATGAATAAAATGTTTTTACCTTTAATTCTTTAGAAATTTCTGTATTATATTTTGTAATGAATATAACATATTAATATTGTGGCACATGTCCATATAATCTATACATAAATATATTCATATGCCCACAAATCTTGTACTTCCCAGGATTGCGATCAAAACAGTTTAGAGACTACTACAGTAAACAGCCAAACAAGGCATTTTAGCTAACTGAACATGCCCTGCTTAAAGTCTCATTTGTATTATTATTTATAGCACCACAATCCCTAAACCAGAATAAATGATGCACGATAAGAATTAAATGAAGTTGTGACACCAAAAGAGAGAAAAATATTTCCTCTGAGTGTAAATTGAAGTTGGCCAGAGAAACAGAGATGTCTAACTTCCACATGTCTCTGTTTCAGTGGTACAAATAATTTTCAGGAATAAGGAAAAGAAGGATTTCCCTGGTGGTCCAGTGGTTAAGTCTCTGCACTTCCACTGCAGGGGGCATGGGTTCGATCCCTGGTCAGGGAACTAAGATCCTGCATGCTGTGCGGCGTGGCCAAAAAAAAAAAAGAAAGAATAAGGAAAAGAAGAGCAGCTGCTGGGGCTGTTAGTGATGATGCAAATTACATAATGTTTCTAAGGTTAGACACTGTGTGAGAAGCTTGAATAGCTTTGACTTAATTCACACTTAAGTGTGAATGGAGTTCATTCCTAGGTTCACAGTTACTCAGAAGAAAGCTGATATATGAAGACCACTATAAAAAGGCAGCCAGAGAGGGAGACTTCCAATACGACCAGAGTCAGCTGTAGTTTGAATGATGAAAGAAGTTTTCACAATCTTCAATTCTTAGATTGCTGAATTCTTCCCAAAGAAACTTCTAAGACCAAGAGTAGTTTCGTTCCAGAAGGCTTGTGATACTTGCTCGTATCACACCTTCATTTTATAAGACAAACCAACCAACCACAACAATAAAACCAACTAAACACCCAAAACAAACCTTCCAGAAAGACAGACTTGAAGCATAAGGCATCAAAGAATCATTTCATCTTGTAACTTGATGGAAACTCTGGAGTATCATTCATTAAATCTGGGGGCTTTACAAGAAGTAAATGAGATATGTTTATAAAGTTTGTGAATTGTTGGCTAACTACTCTGGTGGTGTTTACTTTTAGCGATTTTTTCATGAATAAAAGCAACGTGGTTTTTATAAAATATGTATATTGTCAGTATTCGTAATATTCATAACCTGTTCTGCTATCATAACCTTTTTTTAAAAAAATCTTAGTTCTATAGTTAAATGGATTCAAAGCTTACCTCCAGGCTTTGTGCTGTAGTTTCTGCTAAGCTGAAGTCTATCCTCTAGGTAGGGATCATAAGAACTATATTCCCTGGTGTCTTCCATGTTCAACAATGTTTATCTGAGCCATTATCCTTGAATAAAAACATATAATAGATTGCACATTAACATTTTAAAAAAATTAATTAACTTAGGGGCTAGCCTGGTGACGCAGTGGTTAGGAATCCGCCTGCCAATGGGGGGGAACAACAGGTTCGAGCACTGGTCTGGGAAGATCCCACATGCCGCAAAGAAACTAAGCCCATGAG